TCACTCTAACTTTGAAGAAAAAGTGATTTGCACTCCTCCTTTGAGTGCTCATAGTTTGAAAAGTTTACATGTTATGTAAAAACAGTTGCTGTGTTTTGGAGAGAGCAGAAGTTTTCCTCCGTTTTATAGTTTGAATCACATTTCTACGTGCAGGTATGAGAGAGCTGGGTGACTCAGAAAAAAGGTGAAATTTTGTAGAAAAAAGGTGAAATTTTGTGGGTTTCTAAAGAAAATTCCAATGCATTCCTAATGCATTATTTATTCCCAGTATTTTGGGAATAACTTTGGGAAAAATTTGAATTTTAACACCAAAAGTCATAGCACCTCTTTCGGGATCAAGACGCACGTTTTGATGTATATATTACCGGGGTTTTCTCAAAGCTGCGGGACGAGTTACGCGCCAAAATTTGATAGGAGTGCCTCGGAGCTGAGCACCCATGGCACTAATAACTCAGCAAATCATACATAACAACAGTAGCCACAGGGACAATTGAATTAAGTGCAATACATCACCATTAGGTACTGCATATCTTAATAGCAACACAACATAACCAATGCAAAATTTTAATAAAGAAATTTCCATATATGTGTATGTCCAAAATCACAAGATTTATTTTAATTGAAAAACATATGAATAGGCATTGTTTGACATAAACTTAAGGTTACACAACAACAGAAACCCAGAGTTACAATATACAAATGAGAATATTACTATTCAGAGAAATAAAAAAAAAACTCCATATTTCATAATTGGTCAGGTTGCATACAGTCCAGTGTCCAGTTTTAAGACAAAATTACCTTCTCACAAGTTGCTTAAAGAATATGCTCAACTAAACTGGCTTTCCCCAAAATACTACAAGAAAACAAATCCCATTTATCACCAATATCCAATTATATCAATTTTATCTATTAAACAATTCCCCTTTTCTGAGAGGTTACCCTCTCTGTGGTTCGTAGAACTTATTATTCCATTTAAATTTCACTTGGCGCAGTAAAGACCTAAGATGACCCCTCATTTCTGTTTCAGCCGTCTGTCTGTTCTCATCTGTCCACGTCTGAGATGTTGGTTGTATTTGCTTTTTAACTTCATTCTCATTTTTGAGCAAGTTACTCAGGCTCTCAACTTCAGCACAGTTGCCATAGGGCCACCCCTCTTCTTCTGTATTTGTGCGCAAACCAAATAAATTCCCACATGATCTGCATGGAGGCATTTCATCTCCTGTGCTGAGGCTAAACGCCTGGCACCTGACACTCTCTGGAAGTTGGATTGTTCCATCAAAGTATGATTTCTTGGTCGTGCCTGGACAGTAGGTCATGACTGCATCAGCTACATGACGGTCCCAGGCGCTTAAACAGGAGGCAGCCACCATGATCTTCCCAGCGTTAGATCCAGAAGTGGACATGGAGACTCCATAGTATCGGGCTGAATCTGGGCCCTCGGTCTTCTGAGAGACACAGATGGTGGACGAGGTGAGACGCTCTTTTTTGCTGTTATTACCCCCGGACTTTGGCCTGATGACGTCTTGGAGCATTTTTATTATTTGGTTTTCTTTCTCTTGTCCAATCAGGCGGACAATCTGCAAGCAATAACAAATATTATCAAGCTGCTGTTATCACCACAAATGCAGAATTATCCACAGAGTCAAGCTTTGTGTTGGTGAAATTTACTGCGGTACATTAACCATAAACTGTGACATTTCAATATGTTTAAGTGAGGTAGCAAGTCCTTACAATTTTACAAACTGTATCATCTTTTGACAAACTATAATCTTACCATGTCTAACACACATGAAAATGGACTTCGCTTGGGTAGTTGAGAGGAATAGTGGAGAAAAGGGTTTGGGAAGCGAGTTTTCAATTCATTCAACATCTTTTCATCCCTCACAATATTTTTTGGGGAAAACTGTCTATCATTGATCACTTCCAAAAAGAAGATGCTGTGAAGAATCTGAAAGGTCAAAACACAGGTCACACACAAAGAGATATGATTTCCTATGTTGTATATGTTCAAAACACACTGACCACGCCGTACATTATGTCCAAAAAACTGATTTGTCACGATCAGACATACCTCATCCACCAACATTGAAGTATTTTCCTGAGTCTTTTCACTCAGTTCCATCATTTTTTTAATAATTGTTAAAGAATTCTCTTTGATACCATTTTCGCTCTCTGGAGTTTTTTCCCTAAAATAATAAACATCAGTTTAGAGAAATGAAAAGCAGAATGTACCAGTAACTACTCGTGGTTGAGTAAATCTTACCTTTTTCTTTTTTGTGCATCAGCCTGATGGGATACAAAGATAATTGGAAATAATACAGGACACATTAGGATACATTTCAACAATCAACATATTTAGAAATGAAACCACTTAAAAGCAGCTACTCACCATCTTAAGTTATGAGTAAATGAAAATGAGAGAGAGAATTTAAATCATTCGCATTGTCCTGGTTTCCTCGTTGTTATGTGAAACCAAACTGTGATTAACAATGTGATTGACTTTTATCAGATGTAAATACTACGTGTCAGTGACCGATTGAATTCACAAACACAATGATGAGATGATGATTCTTCTACAGGAATGTTATAGAACTGGTTTAAACACACAAGATGTCTCTGTGAATGTGTGAATGTACAAGGAGCGGCAGTAAAAACACACACACACACACATACACACACACACACACACACACACACGTCAGATGCTAAACTTCTGAGTGGCTCTCCGACATTCAAAGCTGTTTATACCAAGAACAGAAAATACAATAAGACTCTAACATGAATCCAAATTATATCTTTATTAGTGAGACTGTGATTTTTCTCTTGTGTTACAGGGTGTCTGTATTTTTGGGTGTGGTGCTAAACCTGATGGGAGAAATGAAAACTGCAGCTTGTGTAGCAACAACACATTTAATCACGGGTATCAGCAAGAGAAACTTTGAGTTTTCATTACGTTTGATGATTACAATGCAGGTTCATTACCCCAACATGGAGGGTGATGTTAAGGAGAGGTCCTGGTCCATAGTGATATCAACACACTTCTATCTCAAATGGGCAGAAACACATCTGTTATTAAAAGATGCCATTTCATTTCATCTCATAGCACATTACAGGAGGTAGGTGCAGGTAAACACATCAGGGTCACTGGCCATTCAGTGACATAATTAACCATCATTTATTGGAGAATCCCTGAATAAGATTGATTTCAAAATCATAAATGGACTTAAGACTTTAATGAAAAATATATTGCTCCATATTGATTTTGGAGACTGAGTAGATATGGACATTAATCACAGTGCAACTTGCAAGTTACCTTGTTTAATTCAATTACATGTATGTTCACGTACACATATATGCATATGTATGTAATCGGATTTACATTTGCTTTTAATTTATGTCATTTATATGCTTTCATGTATTTGTTGTAACCATTTTTCCCTAGGGTCCCTGAGAATGAGGATCGAAACACACAAATGAATAAACAAATAAAAAAAATTCTTATCTTATCTAGATGAGGTTACAGGAGATAAAATCAAAACAAATAATGAACCTGAGTTTACATCACAGTAACTGATTCCAAGCTCCCCCCATTATATCAATTAGAAATAATATAAAATCTGAATTCTTTGTGGGGTGTAGAAATTCTGATCCCAATCAAATCCCTCTGTGCGCAGGTAACATTTAAGATGTTTCCGAACATTATCTATAGCCGTCTGTCTGTTCTCATCTGTCCACGTCTGAGATGTTGGTTGTACTTGCCTTTTTACTTCATTCTCTTTTTTGAGCAAGTTACTCAGGCTCTCAACTTCAGCACAGTTGCCACAGGGCCACTTTTCTTCTTCATCTGTGCCCAAACCAAATAAATTCCCACATGATCTGCATGGAGGCATTTCATCTCCTGTGCTGAGGCTAAACGCCTGGCACCTGACACTCTCTGGAAGTTGGATTGTTCCATCAAAGTATGATTTCTTGGTCTTCTTGCCTGGATAGTAGGTCATGACTGCATCAGCTACATGACGGTCCCAGGCGCTTAAACAGGAGGCAGCCACCATGATCTTCCCGAGAAGACGGCCAGAAGTGGACATGGAGACTCCATAGTATCGTTCTGAAGCTGGGCCCTCGGTCTTCTGAGAGACACAGATGGTGAACGAGATGAGATTTTGTCCACGACCCCTGGACATTCGCCTGATGATGTCTTGGAGCCTTTCTATTATTTGGTTTTCATTCTCTTGTCCAATCAGGCGGACAATCTGCAAGCAATAACAAATATTATCAAGCTGCTGTTATCACCACAAATGCAGAATTATCCACAGAGTCAAGCTTTGTGTTGGTGAAATTTACTGCGGTACATTAACCATAAACTGTGACATTTCAATATGTTTAAGTGAGGTAGCAAGTCCTTACAATTTTACAAACTGTATCATCTTTTGACAAACTATAATCTTACCATGTCTAACACACATGAAAATGGACTCCGCTCTGGTAGTTGAGAGGAATAGTGGAGAAAAGGGTTTGGGTAGAGTTCCCTCAACCCATTCAACATCTCCCTATCACTCATAATATCCTCTGGGGAATACGATGGCTTGTTGATCCCCCCCAAAAAGAAGATGCTGTGAAGAATCTGAAAGGTCAAAACACAGGACAAACACAAAGAGATATGATTTCCTGAGGTGTATATGTTTCAAAACACACTGACATGTCCAAAAACTGATTTGTCACCATCAGACATACCTCATCCACTAACATCGTAGAATCTTCTGGAGTGTGGTTACTCAGTTTCAGCATTTCTTCAATTATTATGAGGGAATTCGTTCTGAAAACATTGTCACTCTCCTCAAATTCCTCTCTAAAATAACAAACATGAGTTGATTTTAGAGAATTGAAAAGCAAAATACACCAGGAACTACTCGTGGTTGCGTTAACTCACCTTTCAGCTCTTCGTTCAGCAGCCTGATGTAATGATGATGATGTAATTGGAAATAATACAGGACATGTTTACAACAGTTACACATTTCACTGATAATTAGCAAAGTAGAATTTAATCATTTTAATATGAAATATTGACAAAGGAAAGCGCTTCAAAGCAGCTACTCACCATCGTAGTAATCAGTAAAAGAAACTAGGAGAGAGAAGTTAAGTCCCTCCCCTGATTCAAACTACTTCTGCTCAGTTTGTTTCCTTATTGTGACGTAAAACCAAACTGCGATTAACAACGTGATACACCATGATTAGATATAAATATGTGGCAATCACTGAACGACTCCACAAACAGAATGATGAGATGATTATTGTTCTACAGTAAGGCTAGTACTAACTGGTTTTTGCTCACAGCTACGTGAAGCGGCAGTAGAAACACACACACACACACACACACACACACACACACACACACACACACACGTCAGATGCTAAACTCCTGAGATGAGTATGGTTCTCTGACATTAAAAGCTGTTTACACCAAGAACAGAAAATACAGCAGGACTCCAACATGAATCCAACATATGTCTTTATTTGTTAAGCAATTCATTTTTCTCTTGTGTAAAAGGATCCGTGTGTGACAGGATGTCTGTGTATTTAGGCGTGGCACTAAAAGTGATGACACAAAGCGTCGAAAATGTAACTGAGCTAAACTGGAGGAAGTGAAGGAAGTGAAAACAGCACCCTCTGCAGCAACAACTCCTTTGCATGGGGGAAAGAAACTTTCAGTCGTGCAAAGGAGGGACAAAACCTACAGCTTCAGTTCTGCAGAAAAACCCTGTGGCTTAGGCGGTGGCAGCAGTTTTCAGTAAACATAGGAAACATTGGAACAGGAAACATTGTTTTGAATTTTAGTAGGACTTAAACATAGTGTACTTATGTGTACTTACTACTACTAGTGTACTTACTTTTATCTGTTTTTTAACCTATGATTATATTGTATTATTATTATTATATTGTATTATTGTCTTATTCCCTTGTATGTCTTTAATCTTGTGTCTTTGTCTTGAGCAGAAACTTATTTTTGGTTCAACGGTCCACCTTCCTGTTCTGAATAAAAATATTTTTATTGTTAAAGGCAGAATTGGAAAAAATACTCATTTCTACTCAACACTGAATCCTAAATTCCCCTGCTGTCTTAAACTTTAATTTATGAGTTTTGAAAAATGTAAAACTGAGTTAAGTTAACTGAACTAGAGAAAACAAGCAGCAGCTACTGAAGCCATTTTATACAGTTCAAAGTCAGTTCAAAGACAACATGTGAAGCTGCTCTCAGAGACTTGTGAAGTTCTAAGTTCAAATTCAGGGACTGAATTCATCGTCGTGTGCATTGTTTTTGTTATTATATTTTTATTTTCTTTACAGAGATTACAGATTTACAGAGGCATGAACACAGAATACTAAATATGAGTGCACACACACACACACACACACACACACACACACACATATTACAAACTCATACTATACACATCATAGTGAGTAATGGTGGGTTTTGACCACCACAGTCTATTCAGTTCGTCATTGAGTCCAAGTCAACGTTTGTACTAAATTTCAAGGGATTCCCTTGAAGAGTTCTGGAGATATTGCGTTCACAAGGCCAAAACCATGTTTTCAACGCGACCCACACCTTTGACCAAAAACAATGTGTCTCTGGCTCTGGCTGTCTCTGGATCTGCCTGTCGCTGGCTTGGAGGCATGATGAGTCCTGGAGAGAGGAGAGCAACAGAAAGAGAGAGAGAGAGAGAATTAGTTATTAGTTATATATATATTATATATAACATACGTGAGCTCATACATGAACTTTATAGAGAAAATTTAATTTTTTTTATGAGAATTACTACCTTAGTTGTATCATAGCACCACAGCTCGTTGTCTGGCGATTCTGAGATTCTCCATGAATGAGGACTTTTTTGATAACACCAGTTTATGATGCTCCTCGTCCAACCTCCTCCCCACAGGGCCCTTCCTCGCGTCCGCCCAGTCCTGCTTTGTCTACACACAACAGATGACACAAAAAATGGTCGTCAACACCCACACGTGCTCAATCATCAGGGTAAACAATCACAAATCCTGCTTGTTTCAAGCAAATGACTGTCGCGTCTCACCATATGTTTGAAGGCCTCCCCGTGGTAGTAGCTCTTGGATGCTGAAAACTTTATTCCCTCAGTCCACAGCTGATGCAGGCTTGAAGCCACCAGATGCAGCTCCTCTCCATCGTAGGCGTACAGCTTTTTGTCCTCGCAGGTCATCAGAACAAGCTGGTCACACGGACACGAGGTGCCCTCCACTACACCTATAACCTGCATCGTCACTGTCTTGGGAAGGTAGAATTTTCCCCACCCGTTCACCTCATCTGGTCTCTCTCTGTAGATGGTGTCCTCCAGGTCTCCTATTATGAGTGTGGCATCTGCTGGATTCTGTAAGGATATTCTCTTGCCTTTACATTTGGAAACACAGTCTAACACCCACGACAGGTATGCTGGACCTGCAACACACCAGACAAGAGCAGTTTGATGTAGGAGATGGAAAATACTTATGATAGCAAGGTTTTTATGATGGCGTGACGCAAAGATGAGTGAGCTCTACCTCTTTTTCCGTTTTGGCATGGGAAATAAGACTCCCCAAACTGCTGAGCTGCCAACCTGAAAGGTAGAAAAGACAATTATCTTGATAAAGTTCACAGAATCAGAGCTGAAAAACAGAACTGATGCTCACAGTGGTATTTACTGGACCACTGGAAGAGTAATATACCATAATGATGATGACTGTAGAATAAAACGTGTATGTAAAAGTGGCAAAATGGTGACTTGGGTCAGCGTAAGAATAATCACCCTGCTGACATCTGAGCACTTTAAATCTAGACTCATCTTTCCGCCTTAACCTTCAGTTTGTTATCTAATCTTGTGGTTACTGTGGTGTTCCTGTGCACGTTACCATTATCCATCTCAGTGTGAAGCGCTTGTCCTGTGGAGTATTTGCCCTTAAGTTTACGCAAATCATAGCACCACTTTCACCTTCTGTTTGTGTGTATGAAGTGTGTGCTTGAACTGAGTCATAACCTGTATATTCCTTTCCCCAGGACTATGCATGACTTTGGTTCGTGGTTCCTGTCTGTGCTTATTCAGGTCTTCATCCAGGATGAATAAGCATAACTTCTCGTACGTTGGTGTCCGCAATTACGTTTTCTTCTTGTTCCTCCTTGTCTCTTCTCCCTCTGTGCGAATGGTGGGGAGTAATGGTGAGATCTGAATCATTTTGACTTATAATAATCAAAAAAGAGTGAAAATTACAAATTGTGGCAATGTAAAATCATTAATCGCACAAATTCAAGCTAGGCTCCAGTTAAATTATCCAACAACATTTTATTGATTATGCAGGTTTTCCTCCTCCACGAGACACAAACAGCGTGAGCTCTGTTTCTCACTGTGATCCCAGTTCTTCTGGTCTCTTCCGTCTCTGGGAATAATATCTTTGAGTTTTCACTTGTGTGTTGAGTTGATGTCCGGCCAATTTCCAGGTCTTTGTGGCACAGAGGAGGTTTCGTGGTCCAGGTCCTGGTCTTGGGGGCATCTGGAAATGGCTCAACATCTTCATGGCAAACTTCTCATTTCAATTCATTCAATTCATTTCAGCTTCTTGTACTTTATATTTACTTAATATAACATATTTGTTTACGTAATATAGTCAATCTGTTCCTCCATAATGTAATTCTACTGCTGCTAAGTCTTTTTACTCTGGATTGCATATCTCTACGTCCTGGAGAAGGGATTCTGCCTCTGTTCCTCCTTCTGAAGTTTCTCTTTTTTCCGTTAAAGGTTTCTTGGGGGAGTTTTTTTTTCTATTATCTAACTTAAGGGTCTAATTATAGAGGGTATCTTATTCAGATTTTACAACTCTCTGATACAAATTTGTGATTTGTCAGTGTGGGCTAAATAAAAGCAGCACAAACAAAACTCCATTCAGCTTCATTGTACTGGCGTAGCGTCACATGATTCAGACTCAGCCTCACCACGTAATGAAACTGTCTGTACGGCTCAGTGCCACTGAAGGAAGTGAGAACAACAGAAGTCTTTTTGTGAGTGTGTGTGTGTGTGTGTGTGTGTGACATTTTAAATCATACTCGTTACTACCCGCCTCTGCTCCCCAGGTATCTTATTATTTGTGAATGCCCATTTAAACGTCCCCTGAACAGAACAAAGAAAGGTTCTTACAGGCAGCAGTTCGATGAAAGGTTCCTCATTCTGACTCTCTGTCACCTGGAAAACAAAATGTGTATTGTTAAAAGTAGTGGACAACAAATATGTAATTTAAAAAAAGACCTTTACTCAAGTACTGAAAATACTGATCCTACAATGAGGTAATATAATCATATTACCACAGAATCTGACAATTCACCTAAATCTGCCAGATGAATTATAAAAGAAATACAATTAAGCACTGTAATGCATGAGTGTCCTGCTGGACTAATTACTAAATATGGGCGTATACCTGCAACATTGCATGACACACCCTTGTTTTTTTCCGTGACTGTCTCTGTGAAGGAAGGAAACCTAGGAAACCTGTGCTCACTGCTGCTACAAAGTCCAGAAAGGCGTTTTATACATTTATTTTTCAAATACTAAGCACATAAAATATTTGTATGCACAAATTGTTATCGTAATCTTTATCGCATAATTTATTTTTTTAATTGTATATTTTGGCGTAATTTCCTTTTTATGTTTTTTTTGTTTTGTTTTGTTTTAAGTTTTCACGAATAAAAGAAAAGTTTCGCGAATCTGAATCCTTTACAAATGTGAGTTTAAAAAAAAAAAAAAGAGAGAAAAGATTTTAGGCTTCAACTGCGTGGCGCACAGCATTTCACATCCGCGTTGAGACAAACAGCCGCGAGACATTTCCTCATGCGCACAGCCGGAGTCGAGACAAGAGCTGTTGTTCTGTCGCGTAGTAGGTTATCGTCTCAAATGTGAAAACTGTTCTCACATATAAGAGTTTTAAGCTTAACGTTTGAAAACAATGTTTAGTAAACTACACGAGAGGCACATAACTATGTAGATAATCTATGTTTTCCATAATTTCGTTGTTAATGTTAATTTAAATCGAAAGTAGATAAATCGAAAGAGTGACTTTAAAAAAAACAAAATCCATAATCACTTATGTTTATCAATCAAACTCAAATAAAGGTATTTACCACAGCTGATGTTCCGTAGTCTTCTGCGTCCTCACAAGACGTTGTACTTGCGCAAGTATTTTCGGTCTAGGGTGTTATCGCTGATACAGAACTGGAAAGTCACAAAGAAGGAGGACTCTACGTGCGTAACAGCTCGTGCTTGGAGCCATGACGATACGTATCGCCTCCCTTTTCTGAGCTGAACCAGAACTAGGTGGAGTGTCCTGGTGGCGTACATGTGTTTATCCGTTTAATCTGGTCTCCTACATTTATTTTCACCACATATCTAATTTAAATGTCTCTTTTTTTTTAACTATTTAATACTCAATGTATTTGATGTTCACTTTAAATTAAATAAATATATTTAATAAGTTAAAAATATTGTTTGAATGTGTCAATTGTATATTTAAATGTGTATATTTAAACATATAGCTATTCAGTTTTATTTTGTAAACGATGAAATTCTTTTCAATAACCATATCAGGTATGTATCGAACCAGTCTACAGACGTGCATTCAGTGTGTTTTGCCAGGTATCAGGTCGCTCCATGTGATCCCAGCTGATGAAGGCTACAGTCCAGTGAGAGCTTGAATATAGATTCTTCATATGATGCTCACTGTCTCTGTAGGTTATTGGCTGAATAAACGCCTATCTATAGATGTTTGCTTGGGCTGTCAACATAATCACATTTCTATTTATTTTTTGAGACAGTGAGTGTACAAACCTATTGATGAGGGGTTAAGAGTGCGACACCTGCTGGTCATTTTCGTCATTACTATGGGTTATATACAGTCTATGGTTATACACCTTTTTTTTCTGTTGAGAGCTGTTGAGAACAGACTGTACTGTCCACAGTACATCCTGAGGAACTTGCTAAACTGCTTTCATTTCATATTCAAAACAGATATGGTGCGCACGGTCACTCAGCTGGCCAAACAAGATTGTTGTAATACTTTATAATCTATTCATCAGCATAGTATTTAAAAAATGAAAGCGGCACATTCATTTGATATGGAAAACACCTATCATCATTGTAGGTCATAAAAACAAAAATATGTTAGGAGAAAACGGAAAAAACGACCAGTTTCTGTTTTCTGCCTCTGTCAAAAACAAAAGGATAAAACATACTGGTCCTTCTACTATAAATATGCCATTATCTTCACTCGCTACCATGACTAGTCTAAAAACTATGTTGACATGGAGGCTAGTTGAGGAAGTAAAAGTAAAGACAAGTTCAAGTAAATGTAAGCAGTACCTATGGTTTGCTAATTTTAAATGCACTTTTATAGCCTAGACATCACTCGCCATTACCAACACAACATTAATATAAATCGTTCCTTTCCTCTCTGTTAGAGGTTCATTTTTGCTTAACTCAGTGGTATTCCACAGTGTCAGTGAAGGCAACATGAGAATGTCACGCAGAAGTTTTTGTCTGGCGGTCTGGTGCATATTTTGCATCGTATTCAAATTACTTTATCCACAGCTTCAACATAGTAGACTATTTTTTTAATACCGACGGGCTTTATTAAGACACTCATGCAATAATATAAAATCTACACCGACTGCGCATGCGCATCCATTTGGCGGAAGCCGTATGTGCGGCAGGCGGAAGCTCTAACGTCCTTTCTGCTCCCGGACTGCCATCATGGTGAGTTCGCCATGAGGGTTTTGGCATTTCCAAGTCGAATTTCTTTACATAAATCTCACTGATCTGGAACAATACGAGTCGTGTGTGTTGGTAACACACCAATACGCATATTTGTGGAGTGTTTGATACAGTCACGCACGTTTTAAGTTTTAAAGTAGGGTGTATAAGATGTCGGCTCTTGGGCCGCAATACAACGTGGTCTTTCAGGCTGAGAGGGCCGAGAACTGCTCGGTGAAGCTAACCCGTTTCACTTGTTTTGTCTTCACAACACCGACTGAAAACACGCGTTTACGAGGTTGTTCAGCTTAAATACACGTAATGTCCAGTGTTCAATGTAGTCCCATTTTTGTGAAGTCGTTAGCTTTAGCATTGGCTAGTTAACGTTAGCTAGTCGAAGCATTATCAACTGTTGCTGTCCATTGCTGCAAGCCGGGGAGCTTCACAGCCTCCACACTGACCTGCTCGGTTGTCCCAGTCTCGTGTTGTGTGTCTGCCAGACAACGTTTCAATTTCAGTCATTTTTTTCTGACGTGCTGTTGCCTGGTGTCTTTCTCAGGTGTTCAAGCGTTTCGTTGAGATCGGCCGTGTTGCCTACATCTCTTTCGGACCCCATGCTGGCAAGCTGGTGGCCATCGTAGATGTCATCGACCAAAATAGGGTGAGTGCTCCTTTACACAGTGTTTTGATAAGTGTTAGCCTTGCTTTCAATTTGATGATATTGATTGTTTCTTGTGCCCCGTGTTTTCCAGGCTCTCGTTGATGGTCCCTGCACAGGGGTGAAGAGGCAAGCCATGCCCTTCAAGTGTATGCAGCTCACAGACTATGTCATCAAAGTACCCCACAGGTGAGTAGGAACAATGGTCAGATTATGCCACCAAAAATCCTGCAAAAGACATCATCTGAATGAATGTAGGGATGTATGTATAAGAGCTTATCTGTGAATATCTTTGTGCTGTCCAACATTTTTTAAGATTTGTTGAATGCATTTTATTTTTAGATCAGGACACCCACTAAAAAGAGAACATCTACTGACCTGTTTCTACCATTCTACATACAAATTCGTTCATCTGTTAAAATTAATCTCTTTTTAAAGCTTCAGACTTTACAAACAACACAGCTTGCAAAAATGAGAAGACCACCTGCAGTCACGGTATCTCACATGGTGGTTTTATCATTGTGCTGAAGGGTAGATTTAGACTCCAGATATGTACCTTGGTGCATTCATTTACCTTGAATGCAATACCATCGTTTAACATAGGACCAGCTTTGAACAGGACCTGAGAGGTCCAACATGAGTCTTTTTGCTGTAGTTGTTGTAGAAATGTGTTTGTGTTTATATGTGATGCAACATTAATGGGTGGCTCTATTGTCAGTACTTACTGTATGCTGTGGTTCACAGTGCCCGCCAGAAGTTTGTGAGGAGAGCCTGGGAGAAGGCCCAAGTCAACGAGAAGTGGGAACAAAGCAGCTGGGCCAAGAAGATCGAGGCAAGACAGAAGGTAAAGGCTTTGTTTTAGCTTCTGGACAATATGAACATGTACGTTTGATCCCAGACGGTTTTACTTTAGAGGGCAGAGAGAACAGTCACACTTAGCAGCATGGGATGTATTATGTTTTTTTAAAGACATGATACAGCTGTTACTTGAAATTGGCTTTAGAAATGGATAAGTTGTTGGAGGGTTTTGGTCATATAGGGTCTTACTGTTATTTATTTGACCACAGATTAACTTTATTATTCTGTAAACTCTAGGTAAAAATGTTAATATTATTTTGGGGGAATGAGTATGCACTGGGATTTTGTTGCTAAACATAGCATCAGTGTTTCTTATATTGTTGTTCTAAGCCAAAGTAGTCATGGGGACAAAAGTTGACGATGGATAGGTGAAGATATGAACTTCTATCTCACCTGAGTGAGTAATCTCAGCTCGGGTGGTATTTAGCACAGGTAAAGGATTTCACACTCCTAAAACCTGACCACCACAGTGGTGGTTTTTACCAGATGGAAACTGGTGAAAGCTGCAAACTAATTTTTGAACCCAGTACACAATGTGCAACCAGCTGATATATATCACTTTAGTGTTTGATGGCAGCAGCGTTTGCATTACCTCACACATTCCCAACCCTAATAATTCCTGACTTCTCAGGGAAAAGACAGGTTTTCTGTTCTTCCCTAGCATTGCTGTCTGCTACTTTATTTATGAAGCAAATGTTTGTGAGGCTGATCAGTCACTGTCAGTTGTTGGACTGAGCCTGACAGGTCCTGATAGCTTCTAGTCTTTTGTGATTAATTTAGGTGCTAGATGAAAGTAAAAGCGTGCTAAACATCTGACCCATGATGTGTGAAATACTGCCTCTGCTCTTTTTGCCATAAGGTTGTTTCCTAAATGTGTTATTTTCTCAATGTTTTGAGAGGCAGTGATTTATTTAGAGAAGGCAACCCACCGCTTTGGACAGGTTAACATGTCTTTCTCATTGAAAGTGTGTAGTACTGGTTGCCACCACTTACAAACTGACCTTAATGATAATTGCATACATCCCAACATATGTTCAAAATAGTAAAATTAGTTAAACTATACCTTAATACAACTATCCCTCAGTAAGAAACATTATCACAGCGGCTGGCAGTGGACAGATTCAATGCTTCCAGCTCTTGGGGTTGCGTAACTGCAGCACAGCGACTGTTCATCGCCTCTATGACAAAAAGTATCCGGAACTTGACTTGGGCTTTAAAACAAAAAAAGTAAACCACCCAGGTTATATCACTGACCTTATCTTCTCGGTTATCTTTGCAGAGGGCCAAAATGTCTGACTTTGACCGCTACAAGGTGACGAAGGCCAAGAGGATGGTAAGTGCAACAGAAACACAAATCAGTTGTTCGGGCGACTTTAATTTATACAAGATCAATAAGCTGAGTCCTGGTTTAATACAAACAAGTGAGAGGAGAACCTCCTCAAACATACTCTGAAAACTTGTAAAGGAAGAAAAAGTAAAATGTGTAATTCTTTTCATTACTTTACATCACTGTTCTCATTGTAAATGATTAATAACCGGGCTGAAAATAACTTGTATTCCTCCACATCTCCTGGTGCTTATGTCTTTACACAACCGTTATTCCTCAATGACTTTAAATAATTTGTACATTTCTTAACTTGTTTGCCATGTTGAAATAATTGGCAGTATGTTTAATCTTCTTCCCTGTTGATATCGATGCTTTAACCGTTCTTAACGATTCAGTTTATAATCTTTTCTGAGCTTTGTCAGCATTAGCTGTTGCAACAACAAAACTATCCCCCATGAGCAAATTAATTGGTTTTCTGTAGTTGAATATAAGAAAGTGCTGTGTTGGCATTATGTAGTTATATCCACTTTGAGAGCATGAGTGGTTTAGAGAGGCCAGCTCTCAAACAGACCCTGACTTGCACTAACTTGCACTGTGAGAAAAAGAGCCTGTTAAACTGGTGTTGGATAC